ATTGCTGAGTAGTATAGCACATTTCATTTATCCATTCACTATTTGATGGACATTTGGGTTCTCATTTTTTGTCTTTTATGAATAAGGCTCTGTGGACATCCATATATATGTGTTTGTGTGGATATACTGTTTTAATTTCTTTTGGATAAGGAGGAATGACATGTCCAAGTTGTATGACAGGTGTAGTTTAATTCTAAGAAACTGCCAGTATTGCAAAGAGAGGATGTTTTATGTTCTTTCACCACTAAGAGTTCTGGTTGCTCCAAATCCTTACAACTCTTGGTGTTCTCAATCTAATTTTTAGTTATAGCAGGTGTGTAAAGGTGTCTAGTTGTGCTTTTAATTTACATTTCTGTGATGATTAATGATGTCTCTGTGATTATTGGCCATTTGTATTTTCTTGTAAAGTTATTTGTTCAAATTTGTTGCCTACTTTTTCTTACATGAGCTGTCTTTAGTTTTTTACTTTTTATTATTATTTTTTCTTAGGTTGTCTTTTTTTAAATTATATTTTATTTATTGTGCTATCACAGTTTTCTCTGTTTTCCCTCTTAGCCCCCGACACTTAGCCTCCCCACTCCCTCAGGCAGTCCCCACATCATTGTTCATGTCCATGAGTCATGCGTCTTAAATTCTGTATTCCATTCCTATACTGTAGTTTATGTCCCCATGGCTATTCTGTAACTACCTATTTGTACTTCTTTTTTTGTAATATATTTTATTGATTATGCTATTATAGTTGTCCCATTTTCCCTCCTTCACTCCCTTCCACCCTGTACACCCTGTCCCACCAACATTCCCCCCCTTTCGTGTCCATGTGTCATAAGTTTTTTAGCTTCCACATTTCCCATACTATTCTTGCCGTCCCCCTGTCTATATTCTACCTACCATCCATGCTACTTATTCTCCATACCTTTTCCCCCTCTCCTCCCACTCCCCTGTTGATAACCCTCCATGTAATCTCCATTTCTGTGCTTCTGTTCCTGTTCTAGTTGTTTGCTTAGTTTGCTTTTGTTTTAGGTGTGGTTGTTAATAACTGAGTTTGCTGTCTTTTTACTGTTCATATTTTTTGTCTTCTTTTTCTTAGATAAGTCCCTTTACCATTTCATTTAAGAAGGGCTTGGTGACGATGAACTCCTTTAACTTGACCTTATCTGAGAAGAACTTTATCTGCCGTTCCATTCTAAATGAAAGCTTTGTTGTATAGAGCACTCTTGGATGTAGGTCCTTGCCTCTCATGACTTGGAATACTTCTTTCCAGCCCCTTCTTGCCTGCAAGGTCTCTTTTGAGAAATCAGCTGACAGTCTGATAGGAACTCCTTTGTAGGTAACTCTCTGCTTATCTCTTGCTGCTTCTAGGATTCTCTCCTTCATTTTTGTCTTGGCCAATGTAATTATGATGTGCCTTGGTGTGTTCCTCCTTGAGTCCAGCTTCTTTGGGACTCTCTGAGCTTCCCAGGCTCCCTGGAAGTCTATTTCCTTTGCCAGAATGGGAAAGTTCTCCTTTATTATTTGTTCAAGTAAGTTTTCCACTTGTTGTTTTTCTTCTTTCCCTTCTGGTACCCCTATAATTCGTATGTTGGAATGTTTAAAGATGTTCTGGAGGTTCCTAAGCCTCTCCTCATTTTTTTTTTTTTTTGAATTGTTTCTTCACTCTTTTCTGTTTGGTTGTTTCTTTCTTCTGGTTCACTCCACTGATTTGAGTACCAGTTTTCTCCCCATCACTATTGGTTCCCTGTACATTTTCCTTTATTTCACTTAGTGTAGCCTTCATTTTTTCATCTAATTTGTGACCAAAATCAACCAATTCTGTGAGCATCTTGATCACCAGTGCTTTGAACTGTGCATGTGATAGGTTGGCTATGTCTTTGTCACTTAGTTGTATTTTTTCTGGAGGTTAGATCTGTTCTTCCATTTGGGCCACTTTTTTTGTCTTGTCATGCCTGTTATGTAGTGAGGGGCGGAGCCTTAGTTATTCAGGGTGGGTCAACCCAGTAGCTGGGTTGTGACACTGTATGTGGGAGCAGGATCCAAGAGGGAACAATGGCTTTTGCTCTGCACTCTGTTGGATTTCAGTCCCTTCTGCTGCTTCCCCCAAGCAAACTGGGCCCTTCTGGTGCTGATTTCCGTGTGGGTGGGCTTGTGTATATTCTAGGACCATGTGTTTCTCTCCTACGAACTCTCCTGTGAGCCTGGGAGTCTCTTCCAGCACCTCAACCCCCACAGGTGTTTTCAATCAGTCTTATGAGGCTTTATTCTCCACTCTGGAGCCCTGGGTTGCACAGTCTATCTCACTCCCTAGTTTCACCTGGTTTATCTGCATGTGACTGTGTACCTGCCTGGTCAGCCAGCAGCCTTGTGCACCTCACTGAGTCTGCCGGCTGCCACCGCTCTTTTCTTGCCACAACCCCTCTTCCCCTGGCCGCCCAACTCTGCCCCTCCTACCTGTCTGGATGAATGTGTCTATTTTAATTCTTTGGTTGTTGGACTTCCATTCAGTTCAATTTTCTGTCAGTTTTGTTTTTTTTTTTTTGTTTTTAAGGGTTTTTTTTTGCCTTATTTTGGTTGTGCGAGAAGGCACAGTTTGTCTACCTACACCTCCATCTTTGCCAGAAGTTGTTTATGTTAGGTTGTCTTTATGTCTGAGTTGTAAAGGTTCTTATATATTGTGGATACAAATTCTTTGTCAACTCTTTGTATTTTGAATATTCTATTGATTGTTTTATTTTTTAATTTTGACTTTTGAAGAGCAAAAATTTTAATTTTGAAAATATCCGATTTCTCAATTCTTGTTTTGTGCTAAGAAATGTAAGAAATCTTTGCTTATCCTAAGGTGGCAAAGATTTTTTTCTTGTTTTTTTTTCCCCCAGATTTGTAGTTTTAACTTTTAATTTCAGCCTATATGATCCACTCAGAGTCAATTTTTGTGTGTGGCAAAACACCAATATCTAGAGGATAGGTAGAAGTAGAAAGAGCCCTGAAGGATTCAGAGGTACAAAAGATGTTTTTGAAGCCATAAAAGGAGCAGGTGGGGTCAGTGGTGTCAAATGCTGTAGAAAACAAGTTTGATTATGGCTGAAAAGTAGTTACCATCTATGGCAATTTATTGAGAGTCCACTTTGCCAATCACAGCACTTTTTCGATCATGTTGTCTGGTCTGTTGTAGTAGGGGTAGACTATACTTTTGTTACAGAACACACACACACACAGGGCCAAGGGGGGCACAATATACAATTACAGAAAGCCCCCCCCCCCCCATGTTCATTATGTTTGCCACCTTAGGAAAGACATCTCTTAATGCCAGAGGTTTGTGAAAAGGAAATATTTATTTAATGCTATACAGACTTAAAGTAGTGACCTAATGCTTCATTAAAATATCAAAGTCCTTTTTGGATACCCTCAGATGCCCACAGTACTTCCTGCCCTAATTTGGGGTACCCTAACTCTGGGAAAGAAGCAAACGTCTGTGGTTCAGGCTCCTGACACTGTCAGCTGTGTCACCGTCTAGGCAGGATCTCCAATTAATTCAAAGCCACGTGATACCTTCTCATGGCCTACTGGCAAGAGTTCTTTCCACCCTTCTTCCAGCCAAAGTCTCTCCTTCCCAGGCCATGCAGCCAAAGGAAGCACTCCAAAGCCACGTGGATCTCTTCTACCAAAGATGCAGGGCTTCCCACTGTGGCCAAAACCACATGGTTCTTCTCAGCAAAGCTGCAGGAATCCCCATTCTGCCAAAGTTGCGTGGTTCCCCCTCACATGGCTGCGGGGGTCCCCACTCTGCCAGAAGCGCGTGGCTCTCTCCTCTATTGCCACAGCCGCATGGTTTTCTGCCCACTGAAGCTGCGGGAGTGTGCACTCTGGCAAAACTGCGTGGATCTCCTCCTCAATGGCTGCCGTGTCTGGGTTTAAATCCCTGTGCCAATCTTCCTCTGTGGCCCCATTTCCAACTCCTCCCACAATCGGCTACACTTGCCAGCACTCTCATATCCTTCCTGCTTTACTGGGCTGCCATCGTGAATGGGCAGGTGTGGCCCCATGTCATGGAGCCAGTCTTCTCCAAGCTCTCATGCAGGCACTGTAACTTGGGGGACCTGCCCCCCAGTTACATCTTGGGTGGAATTCACTCCCTTCTCCCTGGCTCAAAGCATTGCCACAGCTATTTAACATATCTATGCAGCCAGTTAAAGGCTATAGATATGTTAAATGACCGTGCCAGAGGGTTAGCTGCAAAGCTGTTCCTGTACAAAACAGTTCAATGACCCTGCTCTTTGTGTCCCTTCCCCCAACTCACACCTGTGTGGGGGAAGGGGTGAGGACTTCCTAATATTTCCTGGACACCTTGAATTCTGGACCCCATTCCAAATCCCTTTTTGGGGCCCCCCTCTTGGCTGCACACTGTTTCACTTTGAAGAAATGTATGGATAAGAGAAAAGCAGAAGGTGGACACATGAAGATACCGTTTTTGCGGTATAGGTACATTTGTATGATGAAGGGTACAAATCAATAAAATGAAAAAGTGTGGGAGGTGGAGGAGAATCATGGTGTAATTGATGGGAAAGGTCCCAGAGGAAGGAATAAAGAATGGGACCCAGAATGTAGTGGAGAGATTAACCTTGACGTGAAGGAACCCAATGCTTACCCTGAAAGGGCTCCAGGAAGGAAAATGGTGAAAATGAGTTTTCGGGCTGAGACAGGTGGTTTCGCAAATCTGAGCCAGAGGAGAAATGGAATTAACCTTTACAAATACCATCTGTAGCCTGTTGAGGCAAAACAATTTTACAACTGAGCAGTTTACTCAAAGAAATTATCATTCGGTAGGTTATTTGGCATGCAAGGACGTTCCTTCCCTGTAAAACACGGAAACCACCCAAGGCCAAGCGTGATCTGAGCCTAATCCTGGGCTCCACCTCCGAACTACACGCCCCAGGATGTAATTGGGCCAGCTTCCCATTGGAGGCTGTCCCGGAGGTTGCGACGCGCTGGACGGAAGTCCCGCCTATGCCAAGTCACCCATCACCACTTTCTCCAGCAGCGCCATGCGTGCCGACCAGGCTTCTTCTTGGTACAGGCGATTGTCTGTTGTCTACGCATTGGGTGCCTGGACCACGTTGGGCTCCTTGATTTTCTTCAGTCGGAAAAAGAGCAAGCCATTAGGTACGGCTCTCCGACAAGACCTTCCACCAGACGCGGAGCCTTCCGTGGGGCGTACCTAGGGGTCATAGGAGCGACTTCGCTGTCTTAGCTGTTCCAGATACTCTGCAGAACTTGGGGACAGTTGCTTAGAGCCGTTTGTTGTAAGGATATCTACCGGGAACTACATTTTAAATCCTCTTACCTAAGTCTTGTTTGTTTATTTATTTTGAATGAGGCCGTCCCTTATACTAAGAATTTGAAGAATCAGTGTAACGTTCGAGTTGGAATTTTCAGACACTGGACGGTGGTGTTACTGTAATATTAGCCCTCTTCTCATTTGGCCACCAATTTCAGCATTTATGCTAGCTAGGGAATATTAAAACCTTCCCATTTATTGGGCGGAAAGGAAATCCGTTAATTTTCAAAAATGTGCTTGGAAATAACAGCTCCTTGTAGTAGGATTCGTGGTTGCCTGGGGCTTAATGGGAGGAGTGATGGGGAGTGACAGCTAAGCGTATGGGGTTTCTTTTTGTGGATGAAAATATTGTAAAATTTGATTTTTGTGCTGGTTTCCCAGATTTGAATGTACAAAAAATTACTTAATCTTACATTTTAAATGAGTAGTTGTATGATGTTAAATATAGCTCAGTAAAGCGGGTAAGTGGAAGCTGTGCGGAAGATTACATTTGGTGATGAAGATTATGAGTGGCCTGATAGTACACATTTCCAGTGTCAAGCGTAAATACATTTCACTGTCTATAGTGGTCACATTTTATTTATTTATTTATTTTTTACACAAAGGAAATGTTGACAGGAATCTGATGGTGGTGGGGGTAATTCTTATTTTAGTTTGTTTTTTTTTTTTACAAGATTTTACTAACTACATGGCTGCTGTTTTAAGTTAGAAGTTAATAATTCAGGGTTTTTAAAAAGTGAACAAAAGATGTCTCAACAAATGAATTCCCTGAGCCAAGTAATTCTTAACTTAGTTTATTTTATTTCCAAGACTTTATTAAATAATTTTAATGACTACTCCCTAAGGTAAAAGTTAATAATTCAGGTGTTTCATATTTTTTAAAGGTGGTGAATTAGAGCAAAAGGATGAAATAACTGAACCCCCAAGAGGGTTTTATGTGGAAACGATTGTCACATATAAAGAAGATTTTGTTCCAATTACTGAGAAGATCCTCAACTATTGGAAGTCGTGGACTGGTGGCCCTGGACCAGAATCATGATTGACTGCTGAATTCTGGAAACCAGGACTTTGGTTCAGATTATAAATTTGACAGATGCCTTGATTTCCATTTCATGTTTGTGGAAAGTACATTTAATTTAATTTTGCCATTAATTATGATCACTAATAATATGCAATCAATATTTCCTTGAGGCAAAGTAAATTTGTATGTTCAAGAAATGTCCCTCTATACTTACATGAGTGAAAGGTTGAAGTGAAATTTCACATTGACTGTAAGCTTGCTTTCTGAAATTAGTTCCTGAACTTTATATTTCTTTATGTTGCTGTCAGACATGGTTTTGAGTGGTCCGTTTAAGGTTAGATTCAGCAAATCTCCATGTTTAGTTTGGGATTTATAGCAGCCCTTCAGATACTATTGGGTGCTTGGTAAGTACATTATGATTTAAATCAACTTGGCCTTTAGGACCACAACAGATGTGGATTAAATCCTAACTGTGACTACAAATATCCTAGACACAGGGAATACTAAATTGGGACATGTTTTCTGACCTAAGTGCTACACCAGTCTCTTCACTAGTCTCTTTTGCTTGTGAGTAACAAACCCATATAAGTGAGCTTAAATCAAGGGGGTGTGTGTCAAAAATGTGTATGTACAATTCAGAATTAAAGCAGATTTATGTTACAGTTTTAGGAGGGCCTGATACCAGGAACTGGAATGCAACAAGCCACTCACTGACCCTGCCTCCTCTGGCTCAAAAGAAACTCATAATTTTCTACAACTTTGGACATTCTTAGGTTGACATATGTATACTTAAAAATGGTTTCCCAATTCTGGTAATTTGGTAACTTGAAACTTTAAACTCTTGGTAGCAAATTAAATGATGGACATTCATTAAATATCTAGAAAACTTTCAAATAAGATACTGTATCAATTACTGAACATAGATATACCTACTTTTTTGCTTCTATACTTGGTCTTAGCCAAAAGGCCAAGACGTGATTACTTTTTGCTTATAGAGGAAATAAAGATATTTGAGTCTATTAGTAAACATGTTTTGTGCCACATTAAAAAAATTTTGTGTTGTAAAATATTTCTATAAGTTCCAAAATGTTTATAAATTTATTAATCTAAAAGAATACTGGTATACCACTTCACAATTCCTTGCTCCTTAGTTTTTATTAGAAATTAGGATTTTTAAAGGTTAAGAATTCTAATATGTGTAATTAAAGGTACAATACAGAAAACCACTAGTATAGAAGAAAAATAGAATATATTTGGCTTAAAAAAAGGTATAAGATATGGAAATGTGTTTTCATTAAGAGAAAGAGTAATTTCATCCTGATTATTTTTTTCTTTTTTAGATTTTATTTATTTTTAGAGAGCAGGGAAGGGAGGCAGAGAGGAAGAGAAACATCAGTGTGTGGTTGCCTCTCATGCACCCCCTACTGGGGACCTGGCCAGAAACCTAGGCATGTGCCCTGACTGGGAATCAAACCAGTGACCCTTTGGTTCACAGACTGGCACTTAGTCTGCTGTACCACATTAGCCAGGGCTGTCCTGATTATTTCTGAATGGCTAGAGATACTCAAACTTGAAAAAAATTTATGAAAAGTGAATCTTTTATTTTTTTAGGTTTTATCATTTAAAAAATATTTTATTTATTTTTAGAGGAGAAGGGAGTGAGAAAGAGGGAGAGAAACATCAATGTGTGGTTACCTCTTACATGCCCTCAACTGGGTATCTGGCCTGCAACCCAGGCATGTACCCTGACTGGGAATTGAACTGGCAACCCTTTGGTTCACAGGCTGGCATTCAGTCCACTGAACCACAACAGCCAGGGCTGAGAAATGAATCTTGAGGAAGGAAAGTTTATCTAAGCAGTGAAGCTGAATAAGATTGAAATAAATTTATGTGAGTTTATATATCAAAAGTAAGCTGATGTAGAATTACAATTTGATTTTTCTCTGCTAAAAAGAACAGTTTTCTTAGAGTATTGGTCTGCTACTGATATTTTGAAATTGTTTTCTGCCTAGAAAGCAAAAGTTACTTTATAAAAATAATTTTCTGTGTTTTATGTTATCTTTTTCTTTAATCCTCACATTAGAATATGTTTATTGATTTTAGAGAGTGGGGGGAGGGGGAGAGAAAAAGCTTGATGTGAGAGAGAAACATGAATCTGCTGCCTCCTGTACATACCCCAACTGGGGAAGGGATCAAATCCACAACCTATGTATGTGCCCTAATCGATACTCGAACCCACAACCTTTTGGTGTATGGGACAAAGCTCTAATCAACTGAGCCACCTGGCCAAGGCTTATGCTATTTTAATCATGTCCTTGATTACTTAAGAAAACTGAATCTCCTCAATAGTAAGAACTAGGTTTTGATAACAGTTATATAAACTTCTGTTTTTGTCTTTGAAAATTTTTATTGCCACTTTGGTTAAATGGATAATTAAGTGTTGATTCAAATGATTTAAAATCCTATTTAGTCAAATGCCCAAATCTGGGCCCCTGGAACACCACAAAAGATTTGTTTTCTAACTTCACAAAAATTTTTAAAAACTAATTAGACTGATTTGGTATGTTAAATTGCATGGAAGCATTATAAAAGAAGCGGTGTTAATCTTCCAGTGTATATTGTAAAGGTAAACAATGGCTGTAAATTAAATGAATAGTCAGGGTTACCGGAAACCCAAGGTGGCCACTTGGTTCTTTCAGGCTCCTGACAACCCCCTGGTTTATTTTCTTTTTCCTTTTTGTATTCCTTCATCACCATGGTACTTTTAAGCTGGACCTTACTCAACTGCTGTTTAGTATGGGTTATCAAGATGTTCCTGGTATATGTTTCCAGGATGAGTTAAAGCCTTTCCCTACTCAAAGGCCAATATCCTCACAGTGTCAAAGACACCATTAGAAAATGTGTTTCCTACTTGGGGTATGCCTTCAGTCATCTCTGAGCAAATCATACGAGCTTTGAAGCAGACTTGAAAACTTGGAATTATCACTGACCCTGTCACCCTTGGTTATTATCAGGCAAACTTGAGAGAAGGAATGAAAAACTGGATTTAAGCAGAAATTTTAATTACATGGGACTGAATGAACTAATGAGCATGGTTACAATTTTTTTATGCTTTCTGTTTGAAACTGCTGGGTTTTTTTTTCAAGGTATAAGAATTTTTTTTTTCTAAAGCTAGCTATGAATTAGAGCAATTTGGTAAACTATAGTTTTGTAAACAAAATGGAAAAAGTTGTCTTTTTCTCCCTATTTCATTCCTCCATAATTTGGAAACTTGCAGTGTGAGTTCTGATTTTCATGTCAATATTGTTATTTGCATAAGTTCAACAAGAATTTGTTCTTAGCACAGGAGACAGTTGGAAATTAGTTGTATTTCAAGGATTGGGCTGGAATGTAATAAATGAGGGAGACATGCATAGACTCAGATATGACCAGACAGTTTTAAGACTGATTGATGGAAGTCAATAAAAACCATTGGAAATATTGGCTTGGTATCTTCCTTACATATTCCTAACAGCCTTACCAGGTGAGTAAAGAATGTCACTTAGTGGCAGGTGCAGAAACCTCAGGATATTTTGGGGAGCTTGAGAAGAGAGGAACTCACTCAAATCTACAGATACAGGCAACATCTGATGGCAAGTTCTTGCTGTGGCTTTTCTGGCCTAGAGAGGCTTTTTAAAGTTCAACCTGAGATTTCTTAAAAATTCTATCACAGCTGATTTAAAAGAGCCTGTGTGGAATTCTTAACCTTTAAAAATTCTAATTTCTAGTAAAAACTAAGGAGCAAGGAATTGTGAACTAGTACACCAGTATTCTAGATTAATTTATAAACACATTTTATAATTTATAGAAATATATATTTTCCTAATCTTCTTGCTGGGCTTATGTAAATAGTTTATATTTTAAAGTTTATTGAAATAACTTATTTTGCAAATATATTAGTGTTAATTTTGCTATCTTTGGTAAAGATTTTACAGGTAAAAATTATATTTCAATAGAAACTATAATATACTTTTGGGCTATTAGACTCTAGTGCTGTTAATTATCTTTTGAATTTTTTGTTTTCTTCTAGTAAACTGGACTGGGTCTTTAATTTTTCTAGTTCCCTCCAACATCTGCCTGTCACTCTCCAAACCATTTCCAATTTTTCTTTCATCCTTTGACCTGGAATCATTGAGAACTCAAACTATTTTCCCAAGGCCACGGCAAACATAGATTTCAGAGAAATTGCCACAACAGTTCATATATGGGCAATCTGTATGTCTTGTAGAAAGATGAACAGAAACATTCAAACTTCAGACCAGGAGAATCTATCAGACTGTAACTACCTGCCCTCACTCAATTTGAAGATGGTTCCAGACACACATGTAGAAATTTTTCAACTGCCTGCTTTCAGAACTGAGAAATGGATTAAAATGTGTTTCAATCATTAACCTTTGTTTTTCTTTTGTTTCCATAAGGACACTTTTTATTAAATAATTGTACTATGTGTGTACCATAGGCTTAATTTTAGGAGCCTGCCGGCATTACTGCCTTCTAAAATGAGATAACTTTAACTGAACTAAACTTTTCTCAAGACAGACTGGTTTTGGAACAATCTATCAACCCAGCTTCTGGAATGTGAAACTTCCAGGGAAATTTCGAAGGTGAACTGTGGGGGTACAGAAAGAGCCACTCCAACATGTACCTTTATAGAGTGTGTGTGTGTGTGTGTGTGTGTGTGTGTGTGTGTGTGTTTGACTAAAGGCAACTTTTAAGCTATGGGCTTGAGGAACTTCTGCCCCTGAACTACCTAGAACTTGAATTGGTTTTGCCCATAATATGAGGTTATCAGAGATAATATTTGACCTATCTATAGTTAAAGGCAAACTACTAATTACTAAATGTAGCAATGACCCTTGGGAGCCCCCAAAGCACCTTATCTCATTCCTACCTCAGAATGTCTTAATATATCCATTTTCCCTTACTGTCTTTGACCCTCATGCATGTGGGGTCTCTGACTCTTGCATGTATGTGGGTCCCCATAAATATGGACGTATTAAATTTGGTTATTTTTCTCTTGTTAATATGACTCATGTTTATTTGATTATTAGACCAGCTGAAAAAACCTTGAGGGTAGAAAAAAGTTTCTTCCCCACATATACATTTTTGACAGAAAAACTACAAAACTGATGTGTCGCAGTACAGTATCAAGGAACATGTTTGTCTCATTACTGGTGAGGTTAACTTAGGCCATTTCATTAATGTACTTTAGTGTGTAGTATTAATATTTAAGCATTCTAGTTTATGTTCTTTTCTAGCCAAATGAATTTTCCTTGTTTCTTATTTGAATGTTTTCTTTTATAGGAGGAGGAAAAGTTTTCCTCAACACTCATAGAGTCCCTGGGTGGGTTTGAAAATTAAACTGATAGAGACAGATGAACAGGAGAAAAGCCTACAAATTTATTTGTTTTACATGTGACTGAACTTAATTAATCAATACATGACACAGGAGCCTTCATAAAGAAATGAAGACCCTAAGAAACAGAACTGAGTATTTTTATGCTAGGTTTTTTTTTCTTTTTTTAGTTCTCTCCTGAGGACAATACTTTTTGATTTTTAAAGAGAGGGGAATGTAGGGAAAAAGGGAGAGAGCGATGTGAAAAACACTGATCATACATGCCCCAACCAAGACCCAGTCTGCAACCTATACTTGTTCTGTGACTGGGAATCGAATCTGCAACCTGTCTGATTTATATGACATTGCTCCAACCAACTTGAGCTACACCAGATGGGGCTATGCTAATTTTGATGAAGTTTGGGCAGTTGTGGAGGAATATGGTTATGTCCAGTAATGTGAGGTAACTATAGTAAATTGGAGGAGCCCTAGCAAGGCTGTTTGTTCTTGGGAAATAAGGATGCTCTTTAAGTGTAGGGATGGCACCTCTCACGTGAAGTGTTTATGATCTGTTTCAGGGAGGAGGGTTGGGGGCGACTTTCCTGCTTTTGTTGTCTCACATTCTTCAGCTTTAAATAGTCAATATGCCAAGGTGCCATGTTTTGGGGCAATCTGTCCTGATCCTCATCATTCTACACTCACCAATGTTATTAGAGGACACATTCAGAGAAACTTACTTTTATCAATGATAATAATTTGTTAGGATAATGCTTGTATAGTCTTTTGCAGCTTTCTAAGCACTTTTTACCTAGTCTATTTAAATCTAACAACTCTTCAGGGGTGGGGGTAGCTAAGTATTAGTATTTGTGTTAGAAGAAGAATTAGAATTACTAGAGGAAGAATTAGAATTACAGAATTACAGTATACATCTATGCACTATAATGACATGTTAAGTAAATGAATACTTAAATACTTAAGTAGCTATTTTAGGCAGCAACTCCTGTTCTGCTTGGTTTGTAAGAAGCCACTGAGGCAGGAAGACAAGGGAAGAACAATTTGGGAGGATAGTTGGACAGAGGGATGGAAAGAAGGAAGAGGGAACATAATTAGAATTAGGATTCGGGCAGAACACAGCTAGGATTTAGGAATGATGGCTCTTAGGCCTGATGTGAGTAAAAACAGGTGCAGAAACTGTTCTGGGCAAAGTTGAGTCTGGGCAAGAATGGCGATCTTAGAGTTACGGCGGGTACCAAGTCTGCGAGGAGCAGGACCGAGAACCCGGTAGGGCTTATCACTGGATGAGCCGGTTATAGATAGGCCTCAGATGGAGGTGATCAACGTGGGCGGGGCAAGCTTTGTGGTGGGCGTGGTCAACATTGCGGCCTTCACCAACTTGGTCTGACACAGCTGCCGGGCGCTTCCCGGTGTCACCCGCAGAGGGCGCTGGCCGCCGAGCCGCTTGCCGAGTCGCGAGGCCGGAAGACTTTGCGGCAACGCCCCTCTAGCTCCAGCCGCCGCCATGAAAGCTGTGGTGCAACGCGTCGCTCGGGCCAGCGTCACAGGTCAGTCGGGCGGGGCCAGGCCGGGGAGGAGCCGACCCGGACCCCACGCCTGGCAGTCCCCGGCCACCCCCGCGAGGGTTTCCCGGAATGGCCTCTGGGGCCGTTCTGTCTTCTGGCCCTAGGGCGAGCTCCGACCCCGCAGGGTCGACTCCCTGGCCAGGCTCAGGGCACCGCCACAGCCCCTGATGTTCCTGGTGGGTCCCAGTGCGTCCCTGGCTTCAGGATCACCTCTTTGGGTTCACGATAAACGCACCTTATTATTTTGGTTCTGAGCACCTGGTGGCAGAACCTCCGAGCATCCGTATGGCCCGTTCTTCAGTGGAATATTGTATTAACGTGTAGGGAATATTTCTGGAACAAGAACGTCCCCTTTTCCAACATTCTTTTTAAAATTTCCCATTTTGCCGATTTTCTATATGTCCCAATTTTTATGGAGCTTGACTCCCAATAAAATGCACAGCTGTGAAGAGTTGTTTCTATGGATATGAGTTCTGGCAGTTGTGTACACCCACGTGAGCAGCCCCTAGACTAGTTTCAGAAGAGTCCCTGCCCCAGGATAACCTTCCTCACTAGTAGACCTCTATACGAATGGGGTCAGAATCTTAAGAATTCAGGATGAAATATTTCTCTTTCCACCAGTTTCTTTTGGGCCAAGCCACCCAACCATTAGTCATCACTTGATCACTGTAGTCTAATTTGAACAGTGATTAATGTTAATCACTGTTAATAGGATCCAGATAAGTAATGTAGATAAGGTGGTTGTTGTAAAAGCTCAAACCAGGAAAATAAAGTTATTTTTAAAAATCTTAATGAATAATTTTAGATTGTTTTCTAGCCTTGTCTGTTTACATTGGCAGAATTATAATATTGTTTCAGGCCAGATAATTCCAGATATCCTTCAAGCCAGTCTACACCTAATATTTTCTTGTGTTTACAAAAGTATTGCTCTAAAAACAAAACAACAAAATCCCCTAAAGAAACAACCAAACCCAACAAAACCATGTACAGGTATTTAGATCTAAGATTCGACTTTTCAACCCTGCTCAATGATGTCTAAGCTGTTCTGGTAACTGGTTTTGGATATGGCCTCAGAGTAATAGGGATTTATGGAATTTTAAAACAAATTTTTTTTTTAGCATTTCAGTTAATATTTAAGGTCACTAAACTATGATAATCCATAGATGAAAAGATGTTTTGCTTTTTCTGAGAAGATCTTATAGTCTGCTTTATGTGGTCATCATCAACACTGAATAAACTGGAGAATTTAGGTTTTGATCTTATATAGTTGAACTCTCCATTCTGGAATATTGAAAACATGTATTCTGTGACATTTGCTGAATAGTTTAAGTGATTTTAGTTTATTATTTAAATTGTATGCTTTTAGTTGAAAACAAATAAACCAACCTGTATTAAAAAGATAAATGTTAGCCCTGGCTGGCGTAGCTCAGTGGATTGAGCGCGGGCTGGGAACCAAAGTGTCCCAGGTTCGATTCCCAGCCAGGGTACATGCCTGGGTTGCAGGCCATAACCCCCAGCAACCGCACATTGATGTTTCTCTCTCTCTCTCTCTATCTCCCTCCCTTCCCTCTCTAAAAATAAGTAAATAAAGTCTTTAAAAAAAAAGTAACTCTGATTTACATTAAAAAAAAAGATAAATGTTAATTGTGGGAAGGTGTTAATAAAATGGAATTCTCTCTGTGTTAGAGGGACCTTGGAGTTAGCTAGGCCTGCTAATTGGATTATAATGGAGAGATGTTCTGATTCCTTAAAAATGTGATGGGCTCCCCTGAAATGTGATTGTAAGTGAATGATATTATTTCAGGGGTTCTAAAATGTCACTTCTCATTTTATAGTTGAGACAAAGTAGACAATTAGAAGTCACATCTTATGTGTCAGTTTCATTTTATGAGATTGTTCAGTAGCATGGTTATTGTGATAATTTAAAAAGCTTTGTTATGGAACATTTTAAACACTCATTTGGTTAAACAGGCAAATAGTACAGTAACCTTAATGTCTTGTCACTCAGCTTCAGCAGATAAAATCTGAATAGAATCATAGAACGTTGGGACGAGAATCTAAAATTGTTGGGTTTGAATGTGTTCATTTGGGAGGTTGTGATTTCTCAAAGAAGAGATTCATGGGTGATGCCACTTATACATGGAGAAACTGACCAAATATCTCAGGTCTTTTTTAGCCTGATGATCTTCTGTCTAAAATTCTCAAGTTTTTTTCCTTTAGAAATCCATTTGTCTATAATAAAAGATCTGTTTGAACCTACTAATCCTTCTACTTGTTCCAGGAGGAGGGGCAAAACTCCTCTAAAACAAGAGAGCAAACTGTGTCATATACAGGCTTTGGGGCATAAATTATTTCTTATTAATACAATGTGACATTGTAAAGATGTTGAAATTTCAAATAGTGATTTGAATCACGTCAAATAATGATTCTACTTTTGAAAATCTACTCTTAAGAAGATAATCCTAATTATAGAGAACACTTTAGAGGGATGAAAAGGCAGAGCACAGGATTTTTAGGACAGTGAAATGGCTCCATATGATACTATAATGGTGCATACATGTCATGATATATGTATTTGTCCAAATCCATAGTATGTACAACATCAGGAGTGAACCCCGGTGTAAACTATGGACCCTGATAATTATGATGTGTCATTGTAGTGTCATCAATTGTAACAAATTTAATCCTGTGGAGGTTAGTCTGCCCATTGTATGGAATGCAAGTGTTCTACTGGATGGGATGCGACTACTAAAAGATGTTTAGGGCAGCTTCAACCTGAGTCTGGACTTCTCACCTTCTTCCCTGAACAACATGAGCTTCAGCACATGATCCAGCTTCTCCACAAGCTACCAGACCCTGGGCTCCATGCAGTTGCCCAGCTCCTGGGTCTGGCCGACCAGCAGCGCGGCTAGTGTCTGCAGACTCCGGGGACTCAGGCTCCCGGATCTCTGTGTCCCGCTCCACCAGTGTGCAGGGCAACTGGGGATCTGGGGGCCTGGCTGCAGGGATGGCAGGAGGTCTGGTGGGTATAGGGGGCATCCAGAGCGAGAAGGAAACTATGCAGTTCCTGAATGACTGTCTGGCCTCCTACCTGGAGAGGGTGAGAAGCCTGGAGGCTGATAATTGGAGACTGGAGATCAAAATCTGAGAACACTTAGAGAAGAAGGGACCCCAGGTCAGAGACTGGGGGCATTATTTCAAGACCATCGAGGTTCTGAGGGCTCAGATCTTTGCAAATTCTGTGGACAGTGCTTTCATTGTTGTGCAGATTGATGATGCCATCTTGCTGCTGCTGCTGACTTCAGAGTAAAGTATGAGACAGAGCTGGCCATGCACCAGTCTGTGGAGAATGACATCAATGGGCTCCAATATGTCATTGATAACACCAGTACCACTTGGCTGCAGCTGGAGACAGAGATTGAGGCTCTCAAGGAGAAACTGCTCTTCATGAAGAAGAACCACGAGGAGGAAGTAAATGGTCTACAAAACCAGATTGCCAATTCTGGGTTGACTGTGGAGTTGGATGCCCCCAAATCTCAGGACCTCAGCAAAATCATGGCAGACTTCCAGGATGAGTATGGTGAGCTGCCTTGGAAGAACCAAGAGGAGCTGGATGAATACTGGTCCCATCAGACTGAAGAGAGCACCATGATGGTCACCTTGCAGACTGCTGAGATGGGCGCTGCTGAGAAGACACTCATGAAACAGACTACAGTCCAGTTGTTGGAGACTGACCTGGATTCAATGAGGAATCTGAAGGTCAGTTTGGAGAACAGCCTGGGGGAGGTGGAGATGTGCCATGCCATGCAGATGGAACAACTCAATGGGATCCTGCTGCAACTGGAGTCATAGCTGGCCCAGACTTGGGCAGAGTGGCAGTGCCAGGCTGAGGAATAAGAGGCCCTGTTGAATATCAACATCATCCTCCAGGCTGAGATTGCCACCTACTGCAACCTACTGGATGAAGGGGAGGACTTCAATCTTGTTGACATCCTGGACAAGAGCCCCCTCCTTACAAACCATCAAAAAGACCATGACTTGCATGATTGTGGACGGCAGAGTAGTATCTGAGGTCAATGACACCAAAGTTTTGAGGCATTAAAGGCAGCAGAAGTGGGGCATCCCTTGACAGGGCAGAAGGCCAATAAAAAGTTCATTGAAAGATAAAAAAAAAAGATGTTTAGGAGAAACTTATAACATGGAAAAATTCTTATGCAATAATAAGAGAAAAGATGAGACACAAAAAATTTATATACAATATTTATAATACTACAATAATATTATTGTTCTTTTTCCTTCCCGTTTCTTACATTTTTCAAATTTTCCATAATGCATATTTACTTTAATGGTGGATATAGCTCAATAATAATTATTTTTAAGCTTTAAAATATACTTTGCAGAAAGTTTAGAAAATATATTGATGTTATAAGAAAATAATACATATTTTTATGACTAAGTCATATTTCATTGTATAATGCACCACATCTTCTCTATTCAATTATCTATTGTTAGACACTTAGGTTGCTTCCATATCATGGCTATTATAAGTAATGCTACAATGAACATATGAATGCCTATGTCTTTTTGATTCAGTGTTTTGGGTTTCTTCAGATAAATATCCAGAAGTGGAATTGCTGGGTCCTCATTATTTCTTGTTATAATCTTTGTTTTAAAGTCTATTTTGTCTGGTGTAAGTATTGCTAAGCCAGCTTTTTAATTTCATTTGATTTCCATTGTCATAGAATATCCTTTTCCATCTCTTTACTTTCAGTCTGTGTGTGTCTTTCCATTTGAAGTGAGTCTCTTGTAGGCAACATTATGTGAGGGTCTTATTTTCTTTCCATTGAGCCACCATATGTATTTTGATTGGAGCATTTAATCCATCTACAGTTAAAGTAATTGTTGATTGATCCAAGACAATCAACAGTGGTGGAAGTGTAAGCTACACTCATGTCCTCTCAGGACTAAACTGGAATTACAAC